ATAAGCAATAATCCATTTAATTTATTTTTTAATTTAAAATTAAAAAAATAATTATTATATTTGATAAAAAAATAAAAAATATATATAATTTTGTAGATTGGATTGGATCACGTTTAAAATAAAAAAGAAGTGAGATTGGATTAAAGTTAAAGATTGTGTAGGTAGATGAGAGAGAAAGTAATATTTTAATTGGAATTAGGTTGAAAGAGATTGTGAGTAAACCTGGTCTTATATCCATATTAAATTTCACTCTCTAAGTTATCTTTTAAAAGGTCAAAATCTTAACCACAAGGGTGGTGCCTGATTGATTTGAGCTTGACTCCAAATGTCAAAAGTACCTGGAGGTCTCAGGTTCAAATCCAAGGAGGAATAAAAATCCTCTTGTGGCCATGGAGGTTCAAATGCAGTGACACCGGGCTATCTGCAAAGCAGGTGGTCGCCCTGAAATTAATCGGCTCGCATAGCGGGTTGGATACCAGGTTAATCAAAAAAACAAAAAAAAAAGGTCAAAATCTTCAAAAAAAAAAATTAGTTTTCTTTTGCCGTTGTCACCGTTAATTTGTAGCACTTGTTTCTTAGGTTCTTCCACTTTCAACGTACAAAATTCAGTTTATTAAGCAAATATCTGATACTTTTTCTTCTATTAACTTTGTTTGATTATTATTTTAACAAGTTTCTAGCAAATATTAATCATGAAATTATATTTAGATGATTTCGCTTCTAAAATGTTAGAAGATTTATGTTTAGAAAATCATAATATCTAGTTGTTTGTCTTCTTGAATATCCTGATTTAAGGCCAAAGAATTTCCTGCGACTACCATATAGTATTCATCTCTACCCGGTGATAAATAAAGCATCTGGGCCCTTTTGATCTCTCAGAAATTTTATAAAATGGACTTTCTAGAAAGCCAGATTTATGATCATTAATTTAACCATACAAAGATTAGTTTGATTTTACTTCAATCTTGTTTATAATTATTTTTATACTTTCACATATATTCTAATATAAAAGAATTTATTTTTGAATTTAATAATAAGAAGTTTAATAAATAACATAACTGAAAAAATATAGGACCACATTTATGTTTTTGTACAGGGTCTTCAAAATGTCAGGACCAGCCTTCGCGAGGGAGGGATGTCGTTGTGTACGAAGGGTTTGAATGGTGTAGGTTTGTGAACGGTAAAACTGATTTAATTCTTTCTACTGCTTTAAAATATTTTGTAGTTAGTTACATGTAATATTTTTTGGGTTAAAATGATGTATGTGACCAATTTCTAAAAATTCAATTGTTTATTTACTAAAAAAAATATTCAATGACTTAATTATTCAAAATGAGAAAGTTTAATGATTCTACATTCAAAAAGGTAATTCAGAGACTTGATCATTTAATATGAGAAAATTGGTTGGATTTTTGTTAACTTTCGTATATGACTCATTCAATATACGAGACTTCAAATCTTCTACAATTAATAGAAATACATGTCTTGTCTTTTAAAATTTGTAAGCTTTTTACAAGAATCCTTCATTGATTGTTGGGTAGTACTCCTCCATTGATATCGGTGGTTATTGGTCACCTCTACGTAGTCTGACATTTATAAAGCTTTGTGGATTTTGCTGATCAGAAGCTAATACTGATTTTGATGAAATATAACAAGTGTTTAGCATTTTAACAAAATTTTATGTAAATCATGCATTATTTACAAATACAAATTTGTTTGAGTTGTTTATTGTATTAATAGAACTTGATATACATGTACATTCATGATAAAAATATATACTGATATATATATATATATCAGATATATATATATATATATATATATAGAGAGAGAGAGAGAGAGGTGGGTTATTATACAACCATTTATATTTGTACAATTAATACAACTCAATCTCAATCGTCTATTTAATTTGATGAATATGTGATTTTATAGAAGTTTTGATTATTTTCTAATATAAAGTATTGGTCATAATTAATGAATCTTATTCATCTTCCATAAATATTCAAATCATAATAAATGAACTCTCATCATTTCTATAAATATCTCAATTAATTGGGTTGCATTGGTTGTATTTGAAATATATCATATATATATATATATATATATATATAGACTTGGGATCATGTGAGACCAGTATGTTTTCGTGAGACCCGTGAGACCAACATTTTACACTTGAAACTTCACAGCAAAATGCTGTGAAGGTGACTTTTTAAAACCTTCACAGTGT